GTTCCTATCTGTAAGACACTGAGAGTAGAAGAGATATAATTACAAATAAATTGAGTTTCTGTCACTCAGTTATCAGTTTTATTGGTAAGGAAGTATCTCTTCAGTCTCATCTTAATACAAGCGATAACATTATCATTTGTTTTCTGAGATGTGATCTGTGGGAGAGTTTGGTATAGCAGACATCATACTGTGGGAAGTCAGAAGACACAGGTCCTAGTCTTAAGACCTTTGGCAAGTCTGTCTCTTTGGACCCTACTGTGGTCTCTTGTGTGGAAACTGAAGGAATTAAATTAGATCCATTCAGTAACATGTATTTATTGAGTTGTTAATTATGTGCTTAAAGTAATGGAGTTCTCAGTGGACCTCCAGTATACTGGTGAAGATATTTTAAGTAATAAGTATGAATACTAATGAAAGTGTGATCACAAGTTTGGATAGTGTTCAGAATGAAAGGAACATTGCTTTATGACACCCTGACCTCGACTGGCGGGTCAGGAAAGGCTCTTTTGTGAAAAGTAACACATGAGCTAATAGGAAGGATGAGTAGGAGGTTACTAAGTGAAGGATTGAGGTGTGGATTAAATGAGTGTGCGTGTGTGTGCACATGCACATGTGTTTGTAAATAGTGCTAAATGTGGGCTTGGCTTATGGTCTGTGTTGTATGTAGTATATGTTAATAGCAGTAGTAGTAGTCATGGTTGTCATCATCAGCTGTCAGCCTCTGTTACTGCCCTTATTGTCATACCCTTTTGATGAGGATGTGATGGTAACATTTAGCCCTATTTTTCAGAGGAAGCAACTGAATAAGAGACGAAGTGATTTACATGGGGCCACACAGCTAAGCAGATGAAATTGCCAGATTTCAAACTAGATCTCTGCACCTTCAAACTCATACTTTTCTTCTCTCTTATCTCTTATTTCTTCTATAGCCGTGTCTGTACTTGAGACTTCAGAGTTAATCTTCTGTAAAATGGGAAGGAGATGAAGTCAGTCTTCCATAACTTCTACCAACCCAGCGGCTTGTCTCTGCTAGTGGACCTGCTCCCGTCCCCTCAGCTCCCATCCTGTCCTATGGATTTACTCTTCCTTTACTCAGCTCCTAACCTATTTTGGTAGTTTCCTCCGTCAACACCTTTCTCTTTCATTCTTAGTTTATGTTGGCCATTTTTTTTTCTTTTTAAAATGTGTATGAAAGATTGTGTGAGTTCACCTTGGAATTCATGAATTGAAAGTGGAAGGTACACATTATCCTGTATTGTTTAAAGGGGACACATTCCCTTCACTTCTTGGAGGATTACCTGGGGAAGGAAAGGATGAAGGTTTTGTTGCTAGTTTGGCTTCTACACTTACTCTAAAACCATGTAACAACTATATTGCCCTAACCCGCTTCTACCTTAGAAGGTAGCTTATTCCCCTGTTCATTGCTGTTCCATGATCAACCTTCCTTGTTGGCCTTGACACTTAACACTTAGAGTTTCTTTCAGTTTTCCTTTTTAAAACTGAGAGACTTTCCCTAATATTTTACTTAGAGGCTTTTCCTGATGTTATAAACTGCTTTGTATCCTATCACAGATGGCTTATTTTTTGAAACATTTTATCCTGCAAATTTAACTCCTGAGAACATCATCAGACTCTATGTGAAGAACATGAAGTTCTATAGAAGGAAGGTGTTATGTAGATTTATTTTTTTTTAATGATTTGTAATCATAGCGATATGTTATTGTGTTACTTTTTTTGGAGAATTGAGATAATATCACTTCAAATTAAAACAGTTTGAGATACTGCCATGGTCTTAATGTATTTTTTGTGATTAGAATAGCTTCTCCCTTGGATCTCCCTGGCCTGTTTTAATCTCCTGTTAGCCCTGTACTGTTCTATAGTCCCAGGGGGACAGGCATTCTTTTTAGAAGAGATAAAAGTTGATTTTCACTTCCCAGGATTTGATTCTGATAGATCACTATTTTCTTCTTTTAATTTTAACAGTTATTGAGATAGAATATATGTTCCACAAAATTCACACATTTGAAATATAAAATTCATTTATTTTTTGGAAATTTATAGAGTTGTACAACCGTCATAACAATCCAGTTTTGGAAGTTTTCCATCACTCTAGAAAGTTGCATATAACCTAAATGCATCAATCCCTCATCCCTCCTCTCTAGCCCCATGCAACAACTGATTTGCTTCTTGTCCTTATAGATTTGCCTTTTCTGGACATTTCATGTAAATAGAATCATACAGTATATTAGTGTTTTGCATATGGCTTCTTCCACTTAGCAAAATGTGTTTGAGAAGCTCATCCATGGTGTGTCAGTAACTTGTGAGTAGTATTTCATTGTATGGATATACCACATTTTGTCCACCAATCAGTTGATAAGATATTTGGCGATGTGATATTAGTAATGCTACCATGAACATACATGGTCTTTGTGTGACATATGTTTTCACTTGGGTAGATTACTAGGGTGGAATTGCTGGGTTGTATGGTAAGTTTATGGTAAACATTTTAAGAAACTGAAACTATTTTCCCAAGTGACTGTTCTATGTTACATTCCCACCAGCAACGAATGAGGATTGTAGTTTCTCTACATTCTTGTAAGCTCTTGGTTTTGTCTTGATGATAGCCATTCTAGTGGTTTTAATATGCAGTTTCCTAATGAGTAATAATGTTGAGCATCTTTCCATGTGCTTATTACTTTTTGAAATAAATGTTTATTAAAGTATTTTATGCATTTTAATATTAGGTTGTTTGTCTTTTCATTATTGAGTTGTAATAGTTCCATATATATTATATATTGGAGTCCTTTATCAGATAGGTGAATTACAGATATTTTTTTCCCAGTCTATACCTTGGCTTTTTATTTTCCTAATTAAATGTTTTGAAGTACAATAGTTTTTAAAATTTTAACAAAATCCAACTTTTTAATTGTTTTCTTTTATGATTTATGGTACTCGTGACATATCTAAGACCTCTTTGACTAACCCACAGTCACAAAGATTTTCTTCTATGTTTATTTCTAGAAGTTTTATAGTTTTAGCTGTTATGTTTAGGTCTGTGATACACTTTGAGTTGATTTTTGTGTATCCTGTGAGGTAAGGGTCTGAGTTAATTTTTTGCATATTAATGTCTAATTGTTCCAACACTGTTTATTGAAAAGACTATTTTCCCCCATTTAATTGTCTTATACCTTTGTTGAAAGCATTTTACTATAAATATAAACAGAAGACCATGGGGGAGGGGAAGGAAAAAAAAAGTTAGGGAGGGAGCCAAACCATAAGAGATTCTTAAAAACTGAGAACAAACTGAGGGTTGATAGGGGGTGGGAGGGAAGGGAGATGGGTGATGGGCATTGAGGAGGGCACCTGTTGGGATGAGCCCTGAGTGTTGTATGGAAACCAATTTGACAATAAATTTCATATTAAAAAATATATGTATAAATGTTTATTTCAGAACTCTAAATCCTGTGCCATTTATCTGGTGTTCTGTCCTTATGCTAGTACGACAGTGTCTTGATTACTATAACTCTATAGCAAGTTTTGAAATCAGATAGTGTGAATTCTGCACATTTGTTCTTATTTTTCAATATTATTTTGGCTATTCTCGTTTTTTGCCTTTCCATGTCTGCTAGAATTAGTTTTTCAGTAGCTACAAAAAGCCTACAGGGATTTGAATTGGGATTGCTCTGAATCTATAGGTCAGTTTAGGGAGAATGGAATCTTCTAATCCATGAACATTGCATATCTGTCCATTTTTGTGCTTATTTGATTTCCTTCATTAGCGTCTTACAGTTATTAGTGTTTATTTAAAAAAATTTTTTTAACGTTTATTTATTTTTGAGACAGGGAGAGACAGAGCATGAACGGGGAAGGGTCAGAGAGAGGGAGACACAGAATCTGAAACAGCCTCCAGGTTCTGAGCTGTCAGCACAGACCCTCTGCGGGGCTCGAACTCACGGACCACGAGATCATGACCTGAGCGGAGGTTGGCCACTCAACCGACTGAGCCACCCAGGCGCCCCCAGTTATTAGTGTTTAGATCTTGCACATATTTTGTTAGATTAATATGTAAGCATTTAATTTTAAGTGTGCTATTATTGATGCCTTTTAAAAAAATCATTTTATTTCTCATCCGTCCTCACCATTTCAAGTTTTTTTTTTTTTTAAATTTTTTTTTTT